TTGATGAGGAGGAAGAATACGGTCATAGTGGATCATAGACCACCACGTTCTACTTTAAAGAAGGCAACGTTACAGGTAGATAGAAATGTACCTATCTTTAAGACTCTGTACAAGTAGGAATAAATGGGTATATAGACTAAACTCCACTTGTGCCCCAGAGATAGTTACTGTAGTAAAGAAAATACTTTAAAAGGGGGTGGCCTGTTGTGCCATACAGAGAAAATCTGACTCCCTTTCTCTTATGTTGCATTTGTCCTATATTTGTTTCTGAAATTCCATCTTTGTGGAGGAAAAAAGTTGCAGAAGTGATAGGATTGCAGTGACTAGGTGTTACTCTTCTGTCCATCTTGACAGTAGTCTTATCTTGGCTGACTCTTTGTATTAAGTGTCTGAGCAGCCTATTGCTTGATCTAAAATGACCTCAAGTTTATAACCATCAGTCTAAAGCTTCTATCCTAACAAAAGCTATATCTACACTACAGCCGGGGTCGATGCTCTGAGATCCATCCACTGGTGGTTGATGTAGTGGGTCTAGTGAAGACCCACCATATCGACAGCAGATTGCTCTCCAGTTGACCCCTGTACTCTACCCCTGATGAGAAGAGTAAAGTAAGTCGATGGGAGTTTCTCCCATCGACCCCCCGCAGTGTAGACCCTGTGATAACTCAACCTAAGATACGTTGACTCCAGCTATGTTGGTTGTTTTTTATTTAAAAATTTTTAAAGCACTTAAGAATCATTTTCAAAAGTGACTTAAGTTCCATCGACTTTTCATTTGGACTTTGGAGCCTGAAGTCACTTATAAATTGGTTAGTGTCTAAGGTGCCACAAGTACTCCTTTTCTTTTTGTGAATACAGACTAACACGGCTGTTACTCTGAAACCTGTTATTTGCACTTGAAAATCTTGTCCCAGGTTACCGAACTTGTCAGTTTGGGAAGCATCTATGGATGAATCTGAAACTGGTGTAATGGTCACATTTGTTAGGCGACAGTTGCAAAACATCTCCACGTCGGCTATCAGGCTGTTTTCCAAACAGATAGGGAAACTTAACTAGAATAAACTCCACTTCTTTGGTATTTTTGTATATGTGGAATCAGGAAAAATCAGAGCTGACCATTGTATGGAAATAAAATGTATATCAGACATTTAAAAAATTTTACAAAATACTGAAGTTGTGATGTTGATGGGAATTCCCATTATCTTGTAAGCAGCTGTTGTAACATCATTTAGCCATTCATTGGAGAGAGCCTTAAGGAAATGCTGAAGCAATGAGATGGGTAAAGGTTGAAACTGTTTTAAAATTGTAAGATAGAGAAGCTAGATAGTAAAGGGCTGAGTGAGATGGTTCTGGAGAGCTGGAGCCTAAGCAGGTGAAAAGTCAGAGCTGGCTTGCATGGGCTGGAGCACTACATGCATATTTGCAACCAAACTTAAAGAGATGTGGAAGATAGAAATGGTAACAACTGATGTGATTGTATTTTGGATAGCTTCCCTGGAGAACAGCCCAAATAACCATTCCTCTTTAAAAAAACAAAAACAACCCCCAAACATTGCTCTGCATATTGATAGACAATAAAACACAACCTTGACGTTAAGTCCAAAAATAGCAGTTTTCCACTGGTCAGTACAAAACCAGTTCTGAAAAAAAAATAGTAGTGACTTTGAATTCCTCCCAGAGTGGTACTTTTGCGTAAGTGATTAGTTTTAAAGAATGTGTAGAGTCTGTGCAATTCTGAAAGATAGCCTTGTATATTCTGTTGTCGTCTTTATTCTTAGTTATGGTGAGAGCTTCAAATACAGTAACAGTGAGGGGGTGAATTAACTATTTGGAAATGAAAATAGGCTTTTCAGCTTTGGGTCAGTCCAATAAATCAAAATCCTAAATGCATATCTTTAGTACCTCATTTTGAGGATATAAATGGTGAATTGTACTCTGTGCTTGGTGTCACAAAAACATGTTCTTTGAATAGTGTGTCTGGAGGATTATGTTGTATTAAAATGAATGTCGTTCAAGATTAACTGTTTATTTTTGGGAAACCACACTAGTAAGAATGTTACTATATAATGGTTTCTGAGGTACTTTGATTATAAGCTCATGTTCTGTGGCACTCAAAACTGTTTAACATCTCACAGTTCTGTCCCCCTCCAATTTTTTTTTTAACGCAATATCCTTGCTGTGTGTTTTTAAAGGGCTGGAGCGGATGAGGTATTTATGTCTGTACTTCAACATTAACTGCAAACTTGTTAAGTAATCCAAGATTGCATGTGTGTTTTAAACAAAATGTTTTGTCAAATATCCTAAACAAGCTTCGGACCCTTGGTCTAGAAGTTGGGGCTGAAACCTGCTGAAAAAAAGACTTCAGTGCTCTGTGTATTAAAAGAAAACAAAAAACCCCTCACATCTCTGAACAAAGCAGTTTCATTTTTAAATTGGCTTACAACAGATGACATGCTGTACCAATGAGTCAGTTAGCTCATATAAAACCAAACCTTGTAGTTGATATATCCATCATTCAAATTGCTTTTGATTTTAAGAACTAGATGTCTACTACATGGAACTCTTGAACATGGGTGTGCTTTAATGGCCGTTGAAATGCCTTTCAAATTTAAACTTTATCTTGTGCATTCAGTCTGAAATATAAGCCTTATCTAAAACTTCAAATCATGAAGACTGACTCGGTCTATTCTATATTGTCAAGAACTGTTTGGTTAGAGAACTAGATATTTCCTCCCCTCCCCACAAAATCTGATTGTTAGAAAAATGAAATCAGAAGGTGGCAATTTACTCACCAAAAGCCCTTTTTGTGAACGTGGCAAGTTAAAAGGAAGCTTGCTATTAGAGAACAAACTGTGCCTGTTTTGCCCAGCCCTGTAGTACAAAAACTCGCAGAATAATATGAAATATTTATTACAAAGAAACTGAAATGTCTTGTTCTGCCTACAAACTGGCTGGAGACAGCCATCTTTATGAAAAAAGGTGTCTTGAGAACTTAGAATGGGATCTAAGCCAGGGGGTGGCCAACCTGTGGCTCCGGAGCCATATGCGGTTTTTCAGAAGTTAATATGTGGCTCCTTGTATAGGCACCAACTCCGGGGCTGGAGCTACAGGCTTCAACTTTCCAGTGTGCCGGGAAGTGCTCACTGCTCAACCCTTGGCTCTGCTACAGGCCCTGCCCATACTCCACTCCACTCCACCCCTTCCCGCCCCCTCCCCTGAGCCTGCCATGCCTTCGCTCCTCCCACTCCCTGCCAGAGCCTCCTGCACACCACGAAACAGCTGATTGGGAGGTGCAGGGAGGGAGGGAAGGGGAGGTACTAATTGGTGAAGCTGCCAGTGGGCGGGAGGTGCTGGGAGCCGCGGGGGAGGGGGGAGCTGATGTGGGGGCTGCTGATGTATTACTGTGGCTCTTTGGCAATGTACATAAGTAAATTCTGGCTCCTTCTCAGGCTCAGGTTGGCCACCCCTGATCTAAGCTATTTAACTTAAAGTCCACTAGAAAATGCCATGGCATTATATTGGAACCCACACTGCCAGTGTCAAAGCCCTGTTTCACAGCAACATAAACGCCTCTAGGAGTCCATTAAAAATGTCAGTGGCAATTTAAAATTGATAACATCTAATGTGAACTCCAACTACATGACTGAGCAAAAAGGCACTAGTTCTTTAAGGCTATGTGGTAAACACATAGACATGTCTCATGCATCTTCACATTTTTTTTATTTGAGCTAGAGTTCTTGGGCATAGAGACAATGATCTGTAAACCAGCCTAATTTACTTCAGTAGACTATGCTGAATGCCCTTTCTAAAACAGGAGTTGGCTTCCATGCTGAATAACTCCTTTCTAAGCTTAGAGGGGAGGTGTGACCAGCTCTCCATGTGTGACATACCCAACAAACAATCATGTTTTTTGGTGAGTTCCTGTTTCTTTTTACATGGCAATCATCAAAGTTTCCTAAGGTATTTCCCCCAGGCTCGGTAGCAAGAAAACTTTGTAAAACACTCCCTCTATTAAATAACCTCCAGAGTGCTCCCATCTCCTCCTTTTTAAGCCAGTTTCATATTCCAGCAGACTTTTCTGGTAGCTCTTACAATACATTGTGTATTTCAGGTCAAGGCTAATAAGTGGAATAGACTTGCAGGTCTCTGCAGTACTTGAGGGGGGAAAAATAATTTGGGTTGAGCAATAGGAGTGCACTATTGAATTGAAGGACTTTCAGGTGTGTAAAAAGAAAAGGAGTACTTGTGGCACCTTAGAGACTAACCAATTTATTACCTATTTATTATTATTTATTACAGCATCCGATGAAGTGAGCTGTAGCTCACGAAAGCTCATGCTCAAATAAATTGGTTAGTGTCTAAGGTGCCACAAGTACTCCTTTTCTTTTTGTGAATACAGACTAACACAGCTGCTACTCTGAAACATTTCAGGTGTGTGCAACCAAAATTATTTCAGCTTTTCAATCCAGCCAAATCTTTCAATTAATCTTCATTAAAACTGCCTTTCGTGGGGCTGAGTTAGTCTAACTTTCTCAGGGACAGGATGTGTCATGAACTGGTATCAGTATCCAACTGCTTAAGACAGGTGGAAAGAGATATTAATGCTTAACACTGTTTCAGACGTGTCTGCTTCAGTAGGTGTTTGGATAATACAGTGATGGGGTGGGAGTTGCTTATAAGTTGCTAGACAGAAAATATTCTAGTATACATTTGATATAGGTCTTTATTTTTATACTTTGCTATCTGACCATGTCATTGTAAAAGTGTTTCTCCCCATCCCCCACCAGATATATAGCAGCTAAGTTGCTGGAACAAGGAAAGTTTTTGTTCCTTCTTATGTTGCTCCTTGCAATGGAGCATATTTTGGATCCCCTTCTGAATTGTCCTTCCACAGGACTACTGACTTGTGCTACTGTAAGCTTCATGTACTTTTAAGTTCGAGTTCGTTTACATTTTTATTTTTTGATCACTGACTCTGTTTTATCTGAATCATTCCGCAGGGCTGCAAGGTTCTCGTTGATGCACGGGACAAACTAGGGATTCCTTGGCAGTACACGGAGAACGAGAAGCATGGAATGTTTTTGATGGCTTTTGAAAACAAAGCTGGAATGCCTATAGAGCCTGCCACCTTCCAGTTGTATGTACCTGCACTGAGCGCACTGTGGAGGGATTCTGGGATCAAGGAAGCTTTTAGCCGTCGGAGCGAGTATCAGCTGGTAAGTATATCCAACTGTATGGTGATTGAAAAGTTGTAAACAGGGTTTTTTCAGTCTGAATCCAGTTTAAGAGCAGATTGCTAAACCCAGTGTGTTGCCATAATACAAGCAAGCTGTAGCACTGCTATAAATCTGAGCATGCTATAGCAGCAAGAATGAGTAGTAACTGGAGCCAAACTGAAAAAAAATATGGGGCAGTAGGAAAGAGTGGACAAGACTGGATAGACTGGAAGAACAAGAGGAACCAAAAAAGGCAGGAAATGATTGAACAAAAAACCCCCCAAAACCTGAGCTGCTCAGTTGGGCCGATCATAGTAGGCCACTGATTAATGCACACTTCTTTATATTTGTCCAGTTTTGCCAACTTGTATTATATTGATGCTGGCAGGCTATTGCTATTTGCAGATCAGCTCTTTTGAAGTTAATGTGATCCCTTTCCAAGCTGTTCTTGGATTTTTTTTTTTCCTTTTTTATATCTGCAGGTTGCACTTGAGGCAGCATTTGGATGTCATCCTAAAAATAAAAACGGTTTTCCCCTGTTTTTCTTTTCAAACAGACTTCTAGAGTTCAGCACAAAACTCATTACATAATATAAAATGCAGATAAGAGCACTTCTGATATTGAACATTTTTGTCTTTGATCTGAACAAACATATTTATTTATTTATTTATTTATTTATTTTATGCCTGTTGGAGCAGTTGTTGACCACCCTTTATTCCCCTGTCTTGTCTTCTCCCCTACCTTCCCCACCTCTTTTCTCCCCTCTCCCCCTAGCCCCAAATAATGAGGTGATTGTCGAGGGACTATAGCCTCTTTTGGTTGATTGGGGTTTTTTGGTTGTCACTAACCTCAAGATGTGGCTACCTATTTGGGTTCAAACAGTGGTATAACTAAAATCTGACCAGTCACTTAAGTGGCTTAACTTAATATATAAGCTTAGAAGCTATGTTCCATGTTTCTCACTCTGTAACTTCACATAAAACACTTCCTTTTTTTCATTGAAAAGAGACGTTGTGACTTCCTAAAATTGGGCATAAGAGGGATGTTTATTCTAAATAGTGTTTTCCTTGCTTTGCTGCTATAAATAACATTGTGTTCAAAGAAAGGAATTTAATTCTGTGTGATGGAGAATGTGACTTCTTATGTGAGAATTGCCAGATGCAAAGGTGAGCCCAGCAGTAGTGAATTCCAAGTTGGGGCCTCCCCTTAGTATATTACACTATCAGTATTACCACTCTCCTCAGACAGGAGGTGAAATGCCATTCCATCTCTCCCTCTCCCACCTCTGAGCAACCATAGTGTTTGAGGCGGACAGGACAGGGAAAGAAGCAAAGTCAAGTGCAGAGTTTTAGATTTGAGCAAACATAAAAATTGGAAATGGAGAAGTACTCTGAAGACTCCTTTCTGGGTGCTGCTGTGATCCGAGACCTCTTAAAATGTTGAGTTTAAGAGCCTCTCTTCCATCCGGTTGGGATTGTAATTCTCCAGATTTGAGATTAGTTTGTGTACTTTTAAGGTCTGGAATGGGAAACTGTTACTTGTGCAGACTTCCACCCACACACTGTCAGTTCATAGTTAAGGAGGAAATAGTCAGTCCAAAATAATCTTAGTCCTTTTGCGTCCTAGGCCTTGACGTGTAAAAGTAACAGATATTGTAATGTAATGCAACTGACAGTAATGTAACATTAATAATTTACCTAGACCAGGCATAACACTAAAACACATTCTTTGCCTATATCAGAAATTATTCTTTGTCTTCCCTTGTACCATGCTCTTGTGCTCCCAGATACACAATTCTGCAGTGTTTTTGTTAGTACTTTCATACAAGGAAGCAAAGTGGCCCTATAGCTCTGCTCTTTTTCTAAGGAGTCAAGTTTTTGGCTTAATTTCAATAATGTCATAAAACATAATATATGCCATTCTTTATATTCTCATTGTTGCCTGACTCTGGAAAAGCATTTCTGAAAACTAATTGCATAAATAAACTCTGAAGTTCTTGAAATGGAATGTGCTTGAAGTTTAAGGGCAGGAATTACAGCATTGCTGTGTCTTCCTTTTTTGGCCCTAAAAGGAAGAACTGGAATTAATGGAATAGCTTATAACAAGATTAAAACAAACATTTCTGTTTAGCAGTGTCTTTTAGTAGTAAGGGTCCAACGCTCTGCTTTTTGTGCCATTACAGTTAAGATTGTCAGTACTTCCATTATATCCCTTTTCCAGAAGTCTCTAACTTTAACTCTAAAATTGTGCTTTTGCTGAAACATGACTTAAAAATTCTCAGATCAGGAGTGACTCCCTTAAAATAGCTAGAGAGCTTTTTCAGTTTAGTAAGGTTTTTTGGGGTTTTTTTGGTTTTGTTTTTCGTTCCCCAAAGAAAAAGCTGTATATTCTATTTCACTATGTGTGGTAATGCCACAAGGGGTTTTATTTAAAGCCCAAACAAACAAACCCTTGCCAATATACCTCAGCACCACAACTAATAATCCTTGGAAATTTATTTAGGATAAGTATTTCCTAGGTATTTTAACAACTTATGAATTAATCTGGTTTATTTTCAGCATATCTAAACATCCTTTAATTTGCAGATTGAAGTCTTTCATGCAGGTGTCCGGCTTGCCAGCTTAACTCTGTAAATTATTATCTTCTTAAAATGCTTAGTTATATTTGCTAACCCTAAATAACTGAGACTATTTAGACCTAAACACTTTATGACTACTTGAGCTGTGATAGTGGGATTGGAAACTCACCCCTTGTAAGTGGCTGAAGTTGGTTACAGGAGAAACAACCTTTGAATATTAAAAAGTGACTAAGTATACTGAGGGGGTGGGGGGCAGGTGGCAGAGTGGAGAACTGTTACATAGGTCAGATGCTCCCTCCACATCACTAAATATCAGTGAAATTTATTATGTTGGAAAGACTAGTTCCTTGATACAAGATTTTTTCCAAGACTATAAATTAAGGCTGCTCTTGCATTCTTGAACTTCAGCTACAAGCTTTAAACAAACAGAAGGCAGAGATTCAAGCTAAAGACACGAGAGCTCCACCTTTATGTTGAAGTCAGTAATATTTGTAACATCTAATGCAGAGATTCCCAAACTCTTTTTGCTGAGCTCCTCCATTCAGTCATGTCCCATGCATAGGGAGGGAGAGGGAGGGGTACCAAATACCCATAGGAGGGTCCATGGGGGTATTCACCACTGGGATTTGAGGAAGTGTTCCGCTCCCTGCAGTGGTCAGGTGATCTCACTCTTGGGTCCTGGTTCCCTGCCTGTCCTTGCTCTTCTCTTTCCACTCCCCCTCTTCTCCCGCCCCCCATTTTGCAGGGAAAATTCACAGGACTGTGCTGAAGGGCTGGGGTCAAGAGGAGAGTGGAGTACTGTCCCCCTCCCTGCCTTCTGGACACTGCCCCATCCTGATCCTGGCTTTTCAGTGTGGTCGTGTCTGCTTCCCCTGTGCAGACGCTGTCCAGAAAGGCAAGGGGACAGTGCTCTGCACACTGAAGGGTTGGAGTCAGCACGGGGCTGTGTGAGGCAGGAGTATCAGTACTCCTGGGGTGCGGCCTTCAGCTTGCAGTTCTCAGAGTCCGTCCCGTCCTGCCCACTGGCCTTCCCAGCAGAGGAGGTTGACAGCTGGTGGGTGGCTGCAGCAATGGAGGAATGAGATGGGTAGGGAGCTTTGTCCCTTCAGCTAAGACCTCTCAGACAGAGCCCCCTCCATACTCCCAGCCCTTTAATGCTGACCTATCAGGTCCTTGCGTCCTCCAGTAAACTCATCAGTTTACCCCACAGTTTGGGAACCTCTGAACTAATGTAACCATGACTTAAATTGGTTATGTAGAAATATATTTTATGGATATTAAGGGAAACAAAATTGTTATGGGCCCCAGAACTATTGCTTCGGAATATTTTATATACAAAGGCATAAATGTAACCTATAGTAGTACAGAATACTACTTGTAACTCAGCCTGCTGTGAATAACATAGTTTAAGACAGAAGACAGGAATTCAAAGTTATCAACTATAATGCATGATATGGCACACAGATACAATCAGAATGATGCCTTAAATATAAGTTAATTATAGTTTATTACATTAAAGCTTCATAAGTGTACAGTAGGAACTTAGAATTATGAACACCAGAGTTACGAACTGACTGGTCAACTACATACCTCATTTGGAACTGGAAGTGTGCAATCAGGCAGCAGCAGGGATGGGGGGAAGCAAACACAGTACAGTACTGTGTTAAACGTAAAATACTTAAAATAAATAACTTAAATAATATTTTAAAAAACCCTTTGTAAGGAAACAGTTACTGTGTTGCATTTAAATTAAGATGGTGAATAGCAACATTTTTCTTTTGCACAGTGAAGTTTCAAAGCTGTATTAAGTCAATGTTCAGTTGTAAACTTTTGAAAGAACAACCACAACATTTGTTCAGAGATACAAACAGCCTCCATTCCCGAGGTGTTCATAATGCTGGGGTTCTACTATATGTGGTGCATGGAATTAAAATGTTCTTGAAGGCATAGGTACTAGTTTTTCAGACTGATGCGTTACTAGACAAGTCCTTTCAAAAATAATCTTGCTGCTTAATAAATTGAATGATTCTGCTTCCTCTTGTTGGCTCTTAGGGCTGTTCATGCAATGCCTAATCTCATTAGGATGTAGCAAAAGGCTGGTAGCTGAGGTCAGAGAGATTGGGAGTAGCTTGTGGTCTGGTTTTTTTTGTGTTTAAGTGGAATCCTTATTTATAATCCCATATTGTAGATACTGGTTTAGATCTTGTCCACACCTGTGCACTGGTTTGGTTAAATCCCTACGTGGGCACTTAAATTGGTCTAAATAGATGTAAACCAGATTTAACATGTCTCTGTTGATTTATAGGTCTTGTATATGTGAGCAACTGAATTCCTTTAACTAAAGGTGTGACTTTAAACTGACTTGGTCAAATAGAAGAATCCACGTAGAAGTTTGCTCCTTAGTTCTTTTTAGTTTAAACCA